GCAATGAGAGACTTGATGTCACGACTCTAAGAATGATCATGACCTGAGCTGAAATCAATAACTGGACACTTAACCAACTGAGCCACCTATGCACCCTGAGATTTTATTCTTTTAATTTCCCATGCATTTCCTTTTTCCCAATCTGTTTCAAAAGAGGGGACATAAAAGGAAAAAAACTAAAACCATGTAGAAGTGTATCTTCTATTTCACTTGTTCACATGTTTCCAACTACCTCTCATACTGTAAACAAGGGATAAAACAGTTTTTGAAGAACTTGTCTCCTCACCCTTGGCTTCCAAAAGCAGCTTTCATACATTTTGGGACATGAAATAAGGTCCTGGGCTTTAGTTTTGAAATATACTTCTAAATATACTTTGTTAGTGTTTTTTAATTAGATAGAAAAAGGATGGATTGTATTAATTTTTCTTGGGCTAGTCAGAATTTTCAATTTCTCCAAAGCTGGGCCTGCCAAACAAAGCTAAGTGTATAGCTTCAAAATACTCCCAAGGTATATTACAAGGGTTCTTACACATTTATCTACAAATCTTAAGATTTTACAAATAAATAATCAATAATAAAGAATAATAAGGAAACAGCCTTTGTTCCTGGTTCCTGGGAAGGAGACTCTAAATCCATGGAGTGTTTATTAATGAGCCCCCCGGAAAACTCTTGTATTTGAGACAAGGTGACTCACAGTCCCTAGATACCAACTTTAGGATGGGGACTATTCACCAGAAAGCCAACCATGTGACTGAAGTCTGTGACTATAAGCCAATCTAACCTCCAGGGAGAGGAGGCTGGAGACTAAGTTCAATCACATGACCAATCAATTGTGCCCACACAATGAAACTCCAATGAAAATTCTGGGAACTCACCAGATTTGTAGCCAGTTGGTTAGAAGTGTGGGTAGCCTAGTGATGCCACCTTAAGACTGGCATCTGAAGATAGGCAGTCAGTCTTTTGGGGACTGTGTGCCCTTAAAGCTGTGGAGTCTGATGCTAACTTAGGGTATTTAGTGTCAAACCTGAATTACAGTACAGTAGGTGGGACTGAAATACAATACACATGACTCTTGGAACAACCAAAGTTTGAAATGTGCAGATCCACTGATACCCAGATTCTTTAATGAATAGAGTATAATATTGTTAAATGTATTTCTTCTTCCTTACGATTTTTTTAATAACATTTTCTTTTCTCTAGTTTGTTTTAAGAGCATAGTATATAATACATACAATATATGTGTTGATTGACTATGTTATCAGGAAGGCTTCAGGTCAACAGTAGGTTATTAGCACTTAGGTTTGGGGGAAGTCAACAGTTATACGTGGATTTTCAACTGTGCAGGGATCACAGTCCCTAATCACCATGCTGTTCAAGGGAAACTGTAAATTTAGAAATTGATTCTATAATACTATATGCTTAGGTATAAACAACCAAAATAACTTGGCTAGAAATGAGCTATTAAAACTGTATTTAAATGTTTAAATCAGCTGATAAAAATAATCAAATCCCACTTCAACACTTGTGAAGGAAAATAACTATTTTTGCATTATGGAGTCCCTCTCAAAGTAAAAGACATGTACTACAAATCGCCATGAACAAAATCTCACATGTTAATTGATCAAATACATAAGGATGGAGTTCCAATAATATATGATAACCATGGTATGTACATCTAGGCCTTGCTTTAAGAAATCTGATCATAAGTCTTAGCTTGTAAAGCAATTAAAAGGATTCTATGATTTCAATAAAAAAGTATCCACACTATACCAAAGAATGCACTACTGATTTTTAAAAGCTTACTAATACAATTATGTGATTTTTACTTCCACAAACAATTAAATAGTAAACATACTGCAAATTGCAAGTAATGACAAAATGAGAATTCCCCTCTACCCTACCAGTGTCATTTACTAAGAACATTAACTCATTGTCTCATTGCAGAAGGTTTAAGGGTTGCCTCTTTGGGTCAGTCTCAAGTACAATGACTAAATAGTATCTGATCAATCCAGCAGCAGAAGCTCAGCTTTTGCTGAGCAATTATAAGAACTACTAGTATCTAGTAGTAATATCTAATAGTAACTACTATTATAAGAACTACTAGTATCAGTAACAGCACAGGCTAACCAGCATCAGTAACAGCACAGGCTACCAGCAACCTTAACCTCTCTTTTCCAGTAAAATGAAGTTATTTCCCCTTAATGAATGTTTGGTGAGTACTTATTAACGAGTAATAAAATGTACAAGAAACAGTCTCTTCTGTGAGAGGGCTGAAGTCTACTGAGGAGAAACAAGCACAGAAACATAACTACTATATACAAATCATGAATATGTGGCTACTATTTGCTAACGGTACCCATGCATCTGGCAGTATTAAGACTTTTAAACACATTCACTCATTTAAGCCTCGCTCATGCCTTAAAACTAGGTATAAGAAGGGAGCTGCATAGCTGAATGGGACTAGATTAAAAAAATGCAAAATTGAGCAACTTGAATTATTTTGGATTATTTCCTTAGCACCCTTTATAGGATAAAGAGTTGGAAAAAAAATATATTTTAATAAATTATGCTGATAATTACATGCATTTCCTACTGTCATGCACTGAATGTTTGTGCCCCCCTCCCAAATTTATATATTAAATCCTAAAGCCCAATGGGATGGTATAAGGAGACTAGGGGCCTATGGGAGATGATTAGGTCAGGTGGGCAGAGTCCCCATGAACAGGATTAGTGCCTTTACAGAAGAGGCCCCAAGGAACTCCCTCACTCCTTTTATCATGTGAGGTTGCAGCAAGACAGCCATCTATAAAACAGGAAGATGACCCTCACTAGACAGTGAATCTTATGGTGCCTTGAACTTAGACTTCTTAGTCTCCAGAACGAGGAGAAATAAATTTCTGTTGTTTATAAGCCACCCAGTCTATGGTGTTTTATTAAAGCGGTCCAAATGAACTAAGATGCCTATTAACTTATTTATACCCAATGTAATGGTAGTTATAATGGTGTTCAAAAAATAATAAAAGTTGATTGATTCTGATTGTTTTGAGGGAGAGTACACTCATATTAATAAAAGTCTGAATTTCAGCCTGCATAAAAAATATTAATTTCAAATATGTACAGTGAATTAAATTGTTACGTGTACAAAATATATGTCCACTGGGGTCTATAATTACCCACATATAAAATTCACTTGTACTAAAAATATCTATTATTTTATACAGTCTTTTCATAAAGCCAATCAAAAGCCAATCTATCTTCTAGAATCTTCATTCACTTATCAAACACGTAAGTGATGCCAGACGGGCAAGGTCTCAAGAGGGAGGGCATCAGGCTCATTGCCAAGAGGGTTCTCGACTTCGTGTGAGAAAGAATTTAAGAGCTAGCCATTTAGGGAAAGTGGCAAGGATTTATTAAGTATAGAAATAAGAAAGCTGCTTGCTACTTCACATATAAAGTTAGTGGTCTCTCCTCCCAGGTGAGGAATACGGCTCCTCTTTGCCTCTAACAAAGGGATGTACAAGTTTGTTTTAAAATTAGCTAACCATACAGAAAGAAGTGTACTCTTTACCTTTGGGTTTATCATTTACATTGGGCAGTTAGTTTTTCCATTGTTTTAGAGCTCTGGAATTACCCACAGGGTACAATTTTAAGAATGTCCAGCCTAGGTGGCTTTTACTGCCACAGGGAGTGGGGTCTTGTGGTTTTCTAGGAGTTAGATCTTGTGACTCTTTTTATGACTTGCTGACTTTCAGGTTAAGGGTCAGCCTAAAATCAAAATGGCTTTATTCTGGCCAACTTGTCTCTCAAGTCTTTCTTTCCTCCTGCCTCACAAGTATCAAACATTAAGCATATACTAAGAGCCAGGCTTTGTTCAAGATGTTGGGAACATGGTGCAGAACAAAAAGTTCAGATATCCGTGTTCCAGTTACACTCCAGTAAGATACTGCTTAATAATGGTAAATTTCTAAGCAAAATCTTTTGAAACTTCAGCTATTAAATATACTTTTTTTTTTTTTAAGTTTACTTATTTTGAGAGCGTGTGCGCTGCCGGTGGGGGAGGGTCAGAGAGAGATGGGGAGAGAGAAAATCCCAAACAGGCTCTGTGCTGATAGTGCACAGCCCGAAGTGGGGCTGGAACCCACAACTGTGAGATCATGACCTGAGCAGAAATCAAGAGTCAGACACTTAACCAACTGAGCCAACCAGGCGCCCCTAAATATATTTAAAGATTTTAATTGGTATTTAATTCTAAGGTTAATAAAATGTCTACTGCTTTATCTCAAATAAAGCACATGACAGTAAGTAATAACTAGCATTAAGAAAAAAATGTCTCCTCAATTTCCCCATTACTATACACACAGGTTTAATTATCTCTAAAGTATACATAAATTATATAGACTGAATATACATCAAGAATAATATAATTAAGTAATATCAATGTTTATTGCTCAAAATAATCAAGAGACTGTCTATTAAGCACAAAAAATTTTTCAGAGCTTTGGTACTCAAAAATGCAAAATTTTTTAACTGTCTCCCCAAATTTCCAAAATTCTTATCTGTAAGGCATTTGATTTTAAACATTCATGATTTTCAGTTTCTTCACCTTCAGATCTAACATATATTGGTTCAAGTATTAGCACTTTAAAGTAGCTTTCCAATTTAATAGTTTCCAAGTATAAAACACAAACATACAGCTTATAGCTCTGGTAGTTCATTAGCACTGCAGTTAACTTTCTACATATAGAAAAAAGAAGAGGAGTTTCCAAATGAGTTACTGTAATGTGAATGGAAGGATGGTGGAAAACAGAACAAGAGACCAACCCTCAGTTCTGAGAGGGATTCTTATAGGGGATGGGATGCGGGAGGAACAGAAAGGAGACAATGTATTTGTAAGACTGTATTTCTTAAACTCTAAGTAGTAGATACAAATGGTATTTGTTTTAGTAGTCTACATTTCTGTGTGCCTGAAATATTTAGTAAATAAAAAAAAACAGACTCACCGATCAATCACAATTTCTTTCTGCCTTAGCAGTCCTTCTTTTATCTTCAGCACTGATTCCCACTTACTGAAATCCTGATAGCCAGAAGGTGAGTAACTCTGACGAGACGATCCAGTAAAAACCTGCACAAATATATTTGCGCTATTAGTACACTGAAAGTGTTTAAAAGAAATATTTATGTGTCGTCTAATATTTTCCCAATGATTTTCATTAAAAAATGAGAAAACTCTCCCTTTGATTTTTTTTTTAAAAGACTGTCTGAAATCACACCTGTGAGTACAACATAACTTGAGGAATTTCAAGGAAGTTCTGAAGTAAAAGTACAAGTCTAATGAATCAGTGATAAAGAATACTGAATCTGGCTTATTACAACACTACATATATAAGATCTTATACTCATCTTGTGGAAGCTTTCTGGAAGTGAGAGATCAATCACTCACTGCCTAAGGAAGAAGTACAATAAGACAATGTACTATGGTTAGACTAGACAAATATTACCAAAAAGGTTTCACAAGTCTGTAGTGTGCAGACTTCAAATTGTCATCCATCATATCACATTTAATTACATTAAAATTTCAAAAGTAAAAATATTTTCACAAAATAGTAAACATATTTAAAGAAAATATGACTTAAGCAGGTATAATTTGGGTGATTACAGGTCTCCAATATAAAGTACATAATTTAGAAAAAATCTGCTTAGAATTTAAGAGAAATTTCAAATATTTAAAACAAATCAATACTGATAAAAGCAAATATGACAGATACCCTCAAATTTCTATGATAGAAACAAACAAAAAGAAAGAAAACCTTAGTGGGTATGACTTCATACAGTCATAGAATGAACTGTATCTCCTCAAAAGGATATGTTTAAGTCCTAATCACCAAGTACCTCAAAAGGTAACCTTATTTGAAAACAGGGTCTTTAGAGTAGTCAAGTTAAGATGAAGTCTCAGAGGGGAGGCAGGACATCTGGGTGGCTTAGTCAGTAAGTGTCCAGCTTCAGCTCAGGTGATGATCTCACAGCTCATGGGTTCAAGCCCCAAATCAGGCTCTTTGCTGACAGTTCAGAACCTGGAGCCTGATTCGGATTCTGTATCTCCCTCTCTCTACCCATCTCCTGCTCACACTCTGTCTCTCTCTCTCAAAAATAAACAAACATCAAAAAAAATTTATTTTAAAAGATGAAGTCAGCGGGATGGGCCCTAATCCAATTATGACTGGTGTCCTGTGTAATGGCAAAATTTGAACACATCCACACAGAGGCAGACTATGTAAAGAGATACAGAAAAAACACCATTTGAAGATGAAAGCAGAGATTGCAGTGATGCACCTAAGTAACAGCAACATAAAAATTGCCAGCAAACCACTAGAACCCAGCTTGGAACAGATTCTTCTTCACAGCCCTCAGAAGGAACCAACTCGGCCGACACCTTGATTCTGGACTTCTAACTTTTAGAACTGTGAGACAACAAATTTGTTGTGTAAGCTACCCAGTTTGTGTCCTTTGTGCAGCTCTAGGACACTAATACAGTTGATAAATCATGTAGGAACATAAATTCTTTGGCAGGATAAATGATCCTATAGAAACACTCCAAAGCAACTTTAGGAGAATTCAAAGCTGCTATGATATTTTTATCCTTTGTTTTCCAAAGACGCTGCTGGCAAGACCTATTTCTGAATAAACCACTAATTGCGTTATATCAACTAGTCCTGGATTAACCCTTTAAATTAAGATGATTTTCAATTAATACTAGGATGGGATGTTTCAGGCAGAAGACAGAAAAAGATGAACAGAGTAGGAAGGACAGAAACCAGGAGATAAGAAGGAACATAACCTTGTCAGATGGGCAGATATTTGGAGTGTAAGTGACATTTACTATTATATGGGCAGGTTAGTCAGAGATCCTTCTCTGAATTTCATTCTTTCCTTTGCCTAACATACAACCCAGACTGATACTCAGCCATATGCCCTAGTAAAGATACATCAGCTGCTACAATACTGAACCGTTTTTCCTGTGGTCGGTAACTAGCTGTTGTCCAAATCCCCAAAGGTCCTCTCCACTCTCCAGGCCACTCCTCAGAACTCTCCATCATCCAACAAATGAAGAGTTACTTCTTGACATTTAAAGATGTCCATCCATAAAATGGCATCCTTTCTGACTGGTTGGTTCCCTGCACTAGCCAACCCTCCAAAATTTTCCCATCTCAGAACTACCTACCAGCTTGTATTTAGTTGGCAGCACTGAGATTCAAACTTGAGCACCCCAACAAAAAGCATGTATTCTTAAGGAAATTGTTACACTGCTTCTAGTATGGCCTAAATAAGGTATTCACAAAGTTTTCTATAATCACAAGAGTTGAAAACATTTTTGATAGTAACTGCTCTCAGGAGCTAAAAGAGAATTCAGCACCATACACAATATTGTTGATATTACGAGAAAGTCCCTACTTACTGCAACTCCATGTTGCTTAATGACTACCAATTTAGTGGGTTAAGTGCTTGACTAAATTTATTTTGTCAAATTATAGCTCAAACAGGAATTCATTAAAACTAGTAAAAGCTAATAAGCAAAAAAAAAACCATACCAACAATTCCCAAACTCAATGTAAGATCTGGAAATTATCAAATTAATGACTTGGTAAACTATTTGTGCTATAATACTAAATATTTCATTTATTTGATGACTAAAAATGATTATACACTTTATATACATTGAATTATATATTAATATCCTGATGCCAGTTGACAGGTATTTTAAATAATGGGTTTTGTATATTGCTATCATGCCTAACAAAAAACCTTCTCAGGTACTAGTCACCTCTTGCAAAGACCTAAGAAAGGTTTCTCCATTTCTGATTACCACACATCAGGAATGACTGATACCATAATACTGAAGCTATATTTTACCTTCTATATCTTGTTCCTATTTCAATAAGCAAATACCCGCAGCTTAAAAAAAAAAAAAAGTCAAAATAGCAAGAACAACAACAACAACACAAACAACACAAGAGCCCAGGCAACAGATGATGATCTTGTGAGGAACTGTTCTACTCTTCATACATCTTCTGCTAAAGAATTTCCCTATAGCTGACAACTTCCTAATGAGTAGACTTTTCTTGGTTTGAAACACTTCTTGGCATTGAAGAGAGAGAGTAAATTGTATGAAAAAGTATATTTGCAAGAGAAAAGCAAATAACAGTAGTTTGCAAGAGAAAACCAAATAACAATACCATTTGGCTTATAGCACATGAATCACTGACAGAACAGACCGCTAAAGCACTTACCAAATACTTCTATGAATATACATAAAACAGTATGAAAATTTATTCTTCTGATTTGTAGCTCCCTTGATCTAAAGTCTTTGGAAAACAAATCAAAATTGAGCTATAAAACTGAGTAAATGAGAATAAAGAAAAAAAGAAAGGCTTCCCTTGTAATAAAGATGCACTAATATTTAAAAACTGCTGAGAATAAATATTAAAAGTTTTGTAACAGGATGCCTGGCTAGCTTAGCTGGTTAAGTGACCAATTCTTGATTTTGACTCAGGTTATGATCTCATGATTCATGAGATCAAGTCCTGTGTCAGGCTCTAGGCAGTGCAGTCTGCTTGAGATTCTCTTTCTTCCTCTTTTTTCCCCTTCTGCGCTCACCCTCTCTCTCTCTCAAAATAAATGTAGTACAAAACAATCCTATGCTATTTCTGTCAGATTCTCTTTTAGCCTTGCCAAGAGTGAAGTCTGATCTGCTGTAAGTTATGATAAAAATAAATTTTTATCACTTGTATGGTGATGGATGGTAACTAGACATAGTGGTGATTATTTAATAGCATATACAAATAAAATCATTATGTTATACACTTGAAACTAATATAATGTTAAATGTCAATTATACCTCAATTTTTAAAAAAAAATGTAACATGCAAAGAATTACCAAATCAGCAGCATGATAGTCTTCCTTATAAATAAATCTCAACCCTAATTCATAAAAGTTTAAAGAGGAGAAAAAAATCTGACAAAAAACCAAATGCTATAGGTGAACTTAATGGTAATTTTTAAAATTTCATCAATTGTTCCTTTTCTGTGTATCTTCAGTAGTAAAGCATTGTTTATATTCTATGCGAAATCATCAAGGTACAGGGGATCCTGGGGGACTCAGTCGGTTAAGTGTCTGACTCTTGATTTTGGCTCAGGTCATGATCTCCTGGTTCATGAGATCAAGCCCTAGTCTTAAGTATTTATAATCTCATATATATATATATATATATATATATATATATATGTACACTACTCATATACATCTATACATTAGCCCTGCATCAGGAAAATCTCACGCTTGCACTTTCTCTTAAGATGAATGAATGAAATGAAATTTTAAAAATCATAAAGGTACAGTGGCTGCCTTGCTATCTGACACTTCACAATATACTTCAGGTTGAATTTTAAAACTTTGTTTAATATGGTTTTATTATATAATGATACAACTTTGTTATAAAAGAGTTAGATGAAAAGTCTTCATAATTGTCATTTTTAGTGATAAGGATATAAACAAAAATATTTTACGATACAGGAAAATTATATGAAATTTGAAAATCAGAGCCCATAATTAAAGTTTTACTGGAACATAGCCATGTTCATTCTTTTATATATTATCTATGGCTGCTTTCTCCATCAAAGCTGGGTAGTTGCCAAAGAGACTGCCTCTCTCTCTCACACACACATACATACATATATATGTATAAACAAAGAATATTTTAAACTGTATTATAATATACAGCATATCAATAAATTTAAAATTTTACATGAAATTGAGAACTTTCTAAAAAATTATCAATTACCAAAACTAAGTCTTACTACTTATTAAATTAGCTAATAATTTTACAGGTAGTTTCTACCTAAATGTTAACAAAAGATAAAACAGTGCAAGAGAAAATTTTTTGAGAAAGACATTAAGGAAAGACTAATAATAATAAAGAATAATAATAAAGCATGTTATAAATCAAGAAAATTTAAAATACACTTTGCAGCAAATACAGAAATTCACATTAAAACAATATCACCATTTTAAAAATATGCTTCTAAGTAATACATAGGTTGACTGAGTGAAATTGAAAATATATCAGA